TTTTTCATTGGTGTCTACCCATCTCTTCCTCCAATAGGTACAAAAAGTGCCTGTGTCTGAGCGAGCTACTAATGGTCCAATCTATGCTTGTTGTATCTGTGTCTCAGGGGACCCCTCTGGGTCTAATCTTAGCTCTTGGTCTAATTGGAGCTAGGAGATTCTGTATCTCAGGGAGCTGCTCTTGGCCCAATGCAAGCTAGCTGATTATGTGTGTCAGAAAGCCTCTCTTGGTCCAATAAGAGCTGGTGGCTTTTGTATCTCAGGAAGTTACTGGGGTCACAGGAGGATGGGTATTGGGGTATGGTGTGGGTCTTGCAGATTGCAGGGTCTGATGGGGGGGTTGGTGGTGGTGGGTCTGCCTGCAGCAGTTTTCCCTGCTGGCCAGCAACTGGGGCAGAATTGGATAGGGGTTCCCGGGGACTGGTTGTGTCCCAGGGCCTGGATCCTAGAGCACATTAAGTCTTTTAATTGCTCTGTGCATGAGTTTCCTCAATGCTGACAGGGAATGATTGAACCAAATTTGACATTGGGGCCTGTGAGAGACCCCCTAAGGCATTTCCCAATGACAAAGGGTTATCTTGCCTGTCCCTTGTTGATCTGCATTCATTAGTCCAATGCTGTCTTTTTGCCACACCTTCTGCATATTTCAGAAAGCTGGGGCCTTCTGTTTGGATTATATCTATAATCCTCACCTTGCCTATAATCCCTTTTCAGATGACCTTGCCTACCACAATTAAAATATCTGACATTTTGATTTTTTCATAAAATTTTTAGAAATCACTTCTCCTATCCAAGTATCATCATAAATGTGAGATCCAATATCAGCTGTTTTTCAGATTCATTCATCTATGGGTGCTGAGCTTGCCTTTAAAGGCCTAATCACCCTTTTCTATTCTTAATTACTATTTTCAAAAGCCAAAGATTCAATTAATATTTGTCTAGCTACTGAATCTGATATCATTCTATTACAGCTGAAGTTGATCTTTGTGAAGAAATCAGCAAAGGCTTCTTTGGTGCCTTATGTAATTTTAGTAGAAGACTCAGTCCTATTTCCTGATTCCTCAACCCTTTCGCAAGCATTCAAAGCCTCTATATGGCATAGAGCCAAGATGTGATCATCAACTCTAAACTGTCTTTGCAAATTAGTATGCTGACCTCCACCAAGAAGCTGATCTTAGAAAATTTCCATACCTCTAGCTCTACCTCATTGTTCTATGACCTTAACTTCTTCTCTCCACCAGGTTCTCCACTGTAACTGAGGACCAACTTCCAATATTACTGTAGCTAAATCTTTCCAGTCTTGTGGAATAGTTCTGTTCCAAGCTGCCCATGAATTTAACATCTGCTTCACAAAGGGTGAATGTATACCATAAGAAATAATTTCTTTCTTAAATCTCTTCAAATATAACATTTCTTCAGGATCCCACTTGACTTCTGCATAGCTTTGGGGGTGCCTATCATTTGGTGGTTGTTCTTGTATGGTAACTGGAGAAATTTAGGTTGGTTTTCTAATAACCTTGGGCTGATCTTCTTCAGTTTCATAATGCAATGGCGTGGTAGGTTCTGCTCTAAATTCTTCTGTCTCTGTGTGAATATTTTTCTTAGTTTTATTAGTAGGCCTTTCTAAGAATTGTATCTTATCAGTCAATTTTTTATATTTCACCAGTATCAAACCACTTTTTTAAGATTAAAACATGAATTACCAAACTGATAATAATTATAATTGAAATCATGTCAATTCCAGCTGATTATCCATTCTTTTAATTTTTCCATTTTCAGACCTTCCATTGTGGAACCATACAGAGTCCTAATTCCCTGCATCATAATATTGTTACCCATTCTTAACCTGTGAAAGATTAAAAAAAAACAAACCAAAAAACTAATTCCCCACTTAGGAATTTTTTAGTGTCTCATCAGATCTGCTCACTTTTCAGTTTTTCCACAGCAGCAACAGCAGAGCTGGGTGGGGATAGCCAGCTGCAGTGAAGATGCTTGACTGTGTGGGTCAGCACTGCAAGGTGCTCAGAGCTGGGCTAGCACAATGCAACAGGTTGTCACAATGCTGCACACCCAGGATGAGGGTAATGGAGGTTGCTTACACTCAGTGCAGGGATGGAGAGTAAGCTGCCTGAAAAGAGGACATAGGGAGAAGCCCTCATAGCTAGGGTGCAGTGTGAGAGGGCACCCGGCTGCCTGAATGACAGAGCTGGCAATAGGTGCTGACTCAGGCAGCTGCAGAGCCATTGGGCGGCTGCAACTCTGGGGGCCAGGGTGCACAGTCTGGGGTGCAGGGAAACTGCAGCTGGTGGGAAAACCTGGTGACCCATAGCAGCCCAGAGAAGTGGCAGCTTTAAAAGCTACCACATGATCTCTCCATGCGTTGGACACCAGATGAAGTGCCAGATGAAGCAATTATTTATATTATTCTATTATTAAATAAAACTCAGGAGTCATATATTAGAGCAAAAACCTGATAGATCTAAAGAGCAATGGAGGAATGATCAGCTGACTCTGCCTCTCTATACTTCCAGATCGAAAAGGCCCATGAATCTTTCTAAGCCCCTCCCTATTCCTTTCTGTGTGTCTCTATCCTAATCAGGGTCTGCCAAAAATGCTATGGTTAATGCTGACCAGCTGAAAGTTGACTCTGTCCTCTGATTCAAGGTTTAACTTTATTATCAGCCTCAGGAGTCTCAGAGTGTGATCAAAATATCCTACAACAGTAGGTTCAAAGTTACAGTGCTTCTGCTGGTAGAGGAGACTGTCACTAGCCAACTCTCCCGCAGTGTGCTCTTTGTTGATGATTGACTCTTGCACTTCCTGGAACCCAGAGAGTGAGGCAGAAAGGAGCCAGGTGAAGTACGGGCCCTAATTCTCTATCTTGAACTGGAAGGTCATCAAATAAATATATATTTCCTTCCTTCCTTCCTCCTTCCCTCCCTCCCTCCTTCCCCCTCCCTCCCTTCCTTCTTTCTTTCTTTCCTTCCTTCTTCTGACAGGGTCTTACTATGCAGCCCCAGTTGACCTGGAACTTGCTATGTAAACCAGGCTGGCCTTGAACTCATAGAGTTCCATTTGCCTTTGCTTACTGTGGGCTGGGATTAAAGGGATGCAAAACCACCCATGGCCCAGGAAATATATTCTTGAATTTGTTTTCAAAGAAAGAATCTGGAGGAAAGCAAAAAGAGCCCTCTCCTTTGACAGTTGGTAAAACTACAGTAAATGTCTCTCACATATCTGTTAATAGAGTGTTCCTGACCCCTTCATTTACAGATCTGTCATATGTGATACATTATAACAGATCTTTCCTTGTATTGCTAGTTCTCAAATAATGGTATGGAGACTTTTTGTTAATTATGAAAGCTTGGCCTTAGTTTAGACTTGTTCCCAACTATCTCTTAAAACTTAAATTAACCCATTTATGTTCATCTACATTCTGCCACATGGTTCATTACCCCTACTCAGTAACATATATCCAACTTCTTCCATATCTGGCTGGTGAACCTCCCACTTCAGATCCTTTCCCAGAGTTCCTACCTCTGCCTGTAAGTCACACCTATTCTCTCTGGCTTAGCTATTGGCCTTTCAGCTCTTTATTAAACCAATCAGAAGGTGCCTTAGGCAGGTGAAGTAAAACAGAGACACATCTTTACATAGTGTGCAAAAGAATTATCCTAACAATCCATTGACTTCTGTACTACACATAAACACACTTAGGCTTATTTAGACAGGTTAAAAAATGTTCCCAGAGTCATGGTTCAAAAGGATGAAAGTGTAACACTGGAAAGAGAGGGACATTCTTCACCCTTGAAGCATCCTCTGTTCCACACATATTCTGCACACTATTGGGCATAGACTGACACTCTCCATGTCTCAGAACAAAGGACCTAGGACACTTGCAAGCTAATGGGCATTTAGGCACAAGACTTACTTGAGGAGGCTTTTTCTCCCAGCCTCCTGAAATATCCAGCAGCACACGGGCAAGTAGTGACTTTGTGCCTCTTCCTGTGGCAACCTCAAGAGAAAACAGGAAAAGAAATGATGGAATTAATTTTAAAATAATGATATAGGAGAAACCTATGTACTTTCTAACCCAAACATTTTCTAAGGTAACTGCATAAAAAGATTAATGTGTGTCTCTAAGGAAGACTCAGGATAGTTCCTGGCACACACATGATTTAGAGCTCATTGGGTGTGACTGCTATTCAAACTATCATAAAGTAGATTACACAGGTTGGAAAATTTTTTAAAAAGCTTCTACCATTCCAAAAGATATTCTGGAGGTTTCTGAAGGCATCTGTGATGAGGCTCTCATGCATAGGGAAGGTCTATGAATTGCTTGACATCTTTTTGCCAACATGCACAGGTGGGTTGGGAAAGGCCCTGCCTACATACAGATGTAACTTGGGGTGAGGGAAGGGCAAATGTATTTGGAAAAACCCAACAGGCCACTATGGAGTTATATTTTGTAGAAAACATATCCAAGTAGCTTCCAATATGTGAGTTATGGGGAAGTCAGGTACCTCCATTCTATCTCAGAAATGAAAAGTAAGTCTTTGTGCAAGGGGAAAAGAAGCCATGCAGATGTTAGGGAATGATTGCTTCTCAAAAAGTACTATTCCTGGGCAGTCGAGTGTGCTGGAATGCTTTTATGAAGGCTGGTCCAGTTTTTCTGTTTGCTGTAAATGAACTCCTAAGATAAAAATGTTCCTGATTTAGAGCAGGCAGTCTCCAGTTTACAGATGTTTTGAGCTCTTCAAATTAGACTCTAATCCAGTTGTTTGAAATGGGAGTACATTTTCCTAAGGGAACAATGTTATAAATGATGAGTAGAGCCCAGAACCATGACCAGTACACAAATTCTATTTAACTCCCAGGGCTCTGAAAACTAGACCATACATATATAGAGGGGTGTGTGTGTGTGTGTGTGTGTGTGTGTGTGTGTGTGTGTGTGTGTGTGTATTTTGTTTTGTTTTCAGATTAAAGACTAGTGGGTCACTACCATGGGTTGAATATTTGTGTCCCCCAAATTCATGTTGAGACATCATCTCCAATGTGGTGGTGTTTGGGGATGAAGTCTTTGGGGGAGTATCAGCTCATGAGTGGGATTAGTGCCTTTATAAAATGGACTCCAGAGAGCTCCCTCAGACTTCTCCATGCAACAACACAAGCTGTTGTCTGGGAACCAAGAGTTGGGTCTCACCAGACACTGACTACCAACAACCTGATTGGGACTTCAACCTCCTTAACCATGGGGAATAAATGCTGTGAATTAGAAGGCACCCAGGCTGTATTTTGTTATTTGCCTTAATGGATTAAGATAACTTAAAAACAGCTTAGAGAGTGATGGCAGCATTTTTTAAATTAATTAATGAATTATAGTTATTTTGTTGTTTAAGAATTTCATGCATGCATTAATACATTCTGAATATATCTTCCTTTACCTGCTAATTCTTCTGTCCCCTTACTACTTTATTCTCTCAACCACATGTCCACCCTCCATCCATAGCATCATAGCACATTCTTGCACTATGAAAGCTAATCAGCAGGGATGAAGCTTCCAGGTAGATACCAGCTTAATTTCCCCAGGTCTTAATCTTCAGAAATAGGGTTAAATTAAAGAGAGTAACAAAGAACAATGACCTGAGTCTAGGAGACAGGATGGGTGTGCTGCAGAGGGCAGCATGTAAGCCAGGCCCTCTGGAGCCCAGGGGAACATGAGTGGGTTCCAGATGTCAGTCACTGAACTTCTTTACACTGTCGAACTTCAGTTTTGCTTTGGTCTGACTGTAACTGCGCTGGTTCTTTCTTCTTGGAATAGAATGGATGCAACTTAGTTTTCATTTTACAGGAGCCCCCACAGTAAAGGGATTTTGAACTTCTAAAGAGACAGAGTTCTAGATAGGCTTTTGACAGATATTTTAGAGACTTTGGGTATTTTAGAGAGGCTTGAACTCTAAAAGGAACTTTTGGTGCTTCATTTACTTTTTTGGATTTTATTTATTTTTATTTTATTTTTATGAGTGTTTTGACTGAATGTAGAGGCCAGTAGAGGGGACCAGATCCCATGGGGCTGGAGTTCCAGATAGTTGTGAGTCACCTTGTGGGTGTTGGGGACTGAATTTAGGGCTGAGCCATCTCTCCAGCCTCAACTTTTGGATGCTTTAGAGAGACTGAACTTTTGAAGCATTTGAGGTTTTAAAGACTGTGGAACTTTTAAAGGTTGTAATATTTTATGTTGTGTGGTGATATTTTATTTGTGCTCTAATAAATAAAGCTTGCCTGAAGATCAGAGGAAACAGCTAGCCATTCATTATAAGTAAACACAAAAGTCCTGCAACGTTAGCACACACATTTAATCCTATCACTTGGGAGGCAGGGATATATCTAGATCTATGTAAGTTCAAGGCCACACTGGGAACAGAGCTAGGTGTGGTGGCACATGTCTTAAATTCCAACACTAGTTAACATGGAGGTCTGGAGGTTCGTACAGACAGACAGGAAGTGACAGAGCTGGGCAGGAAGAGGAAGTGATGTAACTGGAAAGAGAGAGCAAATCAGATGGCAGAACAGCAAGGCATATAGGTGTGGGTAGACAGGAAGTATCTCGCTTTTGGAAGCTGTGGAGTTGGTGAGGTGAGGTTAGCATGTGGCTGTTCCTATTCCTCTGGTCTCTCTCGGGTTTTCATCGCTATATCTGGCTCTGTGTTTTTTTTATTTAATAAGACTGTTTAGAAATTTGTCTATAATGTTGTGATATTAATATTAACATGACATACAATCCTCAGTATGAAAAACAAAACAAAACAAACAGCCAGGCATGACGGTACATATTTTGTAATCCTAGCATTTTGAGAGATGAACTAAGAGGATCAGGAGTTCAAGGCCAGCATGAGCTAGAGAGTTAGTGGGTAGCCTGAGATACATGAAACCCTATTGGGGACAGGGGAAACAGAAACATTTTCCAAGTTAGTGGAGAAGAAAAATAGATTTTTTTTCATACAATATATTCTTATCACAGTTTTGCCTCCTTCAGCTTCTCCCAGATGCTCCCCTCCTTCATACCTACCCAAATCCATGTATTTTTTCTCCCATTAGAAAATAAATAGGCATCTAAAATAGAAAAAAAATAGACAAAGAGAAAGCACAAGAAACATATAAAGACATAAAGATGCACACACAGAAATCCTATTAAAAACACGAAATCAGAAACCACAGTATGTTGTTGGTTGTTTTCTGCTCTTTTGGGGGGCCTGCCACCCAGCTTCCAAATAAATCACACATGGAGGCTTATTCTTAATTCTGCATGTCTGGCCTTAGCTTGACTTGTTGCTAGCCAGCTTTCCTTAACACATCTGTCTTTTGCCTCTGGGCTTTTCCTGTTCTCTTACTTCTGTAAATCTTACTCTTACTCTGTGACTTGCTGTGTAGCTTGGTGGCTGACCCCTGATGTCCTCTTCCTTTTTTTTCTTCTTCTCCCTTTCCTCCTTCTATATATTCTCTCACCTCACTGTTGGTCATTCAGTTCTTTATTAGACCATCAGATATTTTAGACAAGCACAGTAACACAGCTTCACAGAGTTAAACAAATACAACATAAATAAAAGTAGCATACCTTAAAATAATATTCCGCAACAGTAGTATATAAGCAAAAAACCTCTAAAGTTGAAAAAAGCTCAGACAAAGCATTATGAGACACAAAAAACTCCACAAATACCATCAAGTTTGGATTGTATTGGGCAGCTTCTGTTGGGCATGGGAACTGCCCTTAAGTATGGTTTGTATACCCAGTGAGATTCCCTTGTAGAAAATTATTTTTCCTTTGGCAGCAGTTATTTATTGGAGATACCCTCTAAATGAGGGATAGTGGTTTGTGTCCTCTTCCCCTGTAGGCCATGGAACCCCATTTGTCCCTGTAGATGGGGGAAAATACAGAGACCCACAACTGGACAATGTGCAGAGAATTCTCAATTCCTAGAATTACCCTTGAAAGAAGCAGGCCCTGTGCATGCTGCCACAGTCTCTGTGAGTTTATGTTGTGTCTGAAGGCATTGTTTCTTTGGTGTCTTCCATCTTCACTGGCTTTTATAATCTTTTGGCTTTCTTTTTCACAGTTTCCCAAGCCCTGGGGGAAAGGATTTGATGGAGACATGCCATTTAGGACTGAGTGTTTCAAGGTCCCTCCTTCTCTTCACATTGCCCAGTTGTGGGTCTCTATATTTGTTCCCATCTATTGCAGGAGGAAGCTTCTCTGATGATGGCTGAGCATAGCAGAATGCTGTTGTCATTTTATTGCTACATTCCTTTTGCAGAATAGTAGCAGTCGTTTTCTCCTAGGTCCCTGGGTCATCTCATCTCAGGGTCCTGGTCACCTGAATAGTGTCAGGGATGGGTTCTCACTCATGGAGTGGGTCTTAAATCAGATATTGGTTGATAACTCCCACAAGCTTTGTGAGCTGCTGCACTTGTGCATCTTACAGGCAGGTCACCATTGTAGACTGAAGCATTTGTAGCTGAGATGGTGTTTACCTTTCTCCTCTGCTAGCATGTAGAGTTATCTTCCAGCACCATGAACACTAGTTAGCAGGGGTGAAGGCTCTAAGTAGGTACCAACTTAACTTCTCTGTATTCAGTGAATTTTGTAGGTGCTGTCTTCAGCAATGGGGATTGCGATAAGTTTCAAGAGAAAACAACAACCTTGGCAATAGCCTGGGTTGTTTGGGGGTTCCCAGAGGGCCCTTTTGGCCAACAACTCAATTAGCTATAACTTAGTCCTGGCACTGGGGATTCCATTTGGTGGAGAGAGATGTTTAGTTGGGGCTTTGCCTCCCCCATTAATTGGTGATTCTGTTTAGGTTTCTTTAATATATGTAACCTACTGTACCCCTCAAATGTCCCTTAGTTTGAGTTGTTCTTCCTTGTATTCCTTCCTTCAGCTGGCTCTTACTGCCTCTTCCCCATTTGATCCTCGCATTGCAGCCCCCGCCCATCTATAACTATCTATCCTATCTCCCCTTCCTGGGGAGATCCTTCTCTCCCCTCTACTCCCTTACTCAGTAAGTGACTTCTGTGGTTCCATGGATTATAACCTGCCAAAATGCACAAAGAAAATCCTGTGGGGCCTCAATCCTGTACAAAGAACTTCAGGCAATTGAGGAAGGCTGAGAGAGGGAGAAGTGGCTTTCCCACGGAAGAGCAAGTTGCCCAGGGCTAAACAGCCCTGAGAGCATACATACAATACATACAAGTAACATGATATGGGCTCAATAGGTGATATTTGGGGAAAATATGTATATGTAAATACATATGTGCATGCAATAAGAATAAAAAAGAGGCCGTGAATTTGAAGGAGAGTGGGGAGGGCATATGGGAGACTTGGAAGGTAGAAAGGGAAGGGAGAAATGTAATTAAAATATATTATCAAAATAAACAAAATATATGAAAAAAGACAGAAAAAACCCACTAGGAAGTTAAAAAAAAAATAAAATCACAGTCAGTAACTGCAGAAGTTTGAAGCATACTATTAATACATTTAATATAACCAACATATGGAGGAAGCTGCTTCCAACAGCAGAGTGCACATTTCTTTAAAATGCACATTGAACATTTATAAAAACTAACATGCAGTTTTTCATAAAGCAAACTCTAGAAATATCAGAAGATGAAATCATATAGAGTAGTTCTTTAGGTGGAATTAAGCTAAAAGCAAAAAGGCCACTAGGAAATCCTGACATGTTTAGCCTCAACACACACATATAAATAATCTATAGGTGAGAGAAGCATTTTGATCAGGATGACAATTGTTTGTAGTTCTTCACTGAGGGTTGAGGCTCCTAGAGATTTACCACATTCACACAGGCATGCCATTTGGGGTTGTCATTGTTCAGGTCTTGTTTAAGCAGCCATGTTGTTGAGATTTCATGGGTTTAGCTTCCCCTCATTCCTAGAAGACACAATCTCACAGCAGAACTCCTAGTTCTCTGGCTCTTAAGATCTTTCTGCCCCTCTCTTCCATGATGGACCCTGATCATTGGGTGTAGGATTTGTTTTGTAAATGTATTAACTGGGGTCCAGCTTCCCCCATGGTCAGTTGTCCACTGCATTTTAACTAGTTGTGATTTTCTGGAATGGTCTCTTCCTTTCGCAAAACCCAAACTAAAACCGAAACTTTGATTTGGGGTGAAAGCTGCACTTAACCATTAGTTAAAGAAAATCTGTGACCACAAAGACATAAGCAAAAATAACAAAACTATTCACAACTTCAAAACCACTTATCTCTTTAGTGTTCAGTTAGAGAAACACATTTCAAAAATCCATGTTATGTCATGCCTCAGCTTCCTTTCCTTCCTCCTTCCATGGGGTCAGGCTGACCAGAACCCCTGTCTTGGATGGCTCTTCCACATTCCCCTCAGTTGTCTATTTCCCCCTCAGGATCAGCCCCAGGCTGCATGGTTCCCTAAAGGACTCCAGCTTGGGCCCCTGGCCATACATGCAGAGGCACTGTCATGCTCGCTTTGGAGAACGAATTTCTCAGCTACCTTCTCATTTTTGTCCTTTGTTTTTTTGTCTTGTGTTTTTTTTTCTAGAATAGAAGGTTCTATGCATTTGCCTCTGTTGCTGTAGGTGGAAATCAATGTCTTACAGGTAAAATGCTTCCAGGGAAACCATCCCCCTTTGGAGCAACAGACCCCTTTGTCTGATTTTAGGTTTTTCTCTGCAAACTTCTGTCTCCCACAAGTGCTGGGTCGGGGACTAAATGGCCATGTTTAATATGCAGCTAATGCAGGTTTCCCCTCCAATGGCAGCTGCCCCAGTAGGAAAGCCCTTTGGAGCCCCATTAAAGGATTTGGCTCAGTTCCTTCTCACTATGTGTGCAATCCTTTGGTACTTCCAAAAGGTCCTTAATGAAAACACTCAACCTTGCTAACAAAGAGGCCAACACAATTGATCATCTTGGCAGATTTTATGGACCCACTCTTAAAGTTCAAATACTCCTGATGGAAGGAGCATCCTCAGGTGAACAAATACACAAATCTTTAGGAATGCAAGTATCTGAAAGAGCAAGCTCTTCATTTTCTGGTCAATGATTGTCAAATGTGAGTGTATACCAGAATGACCCACAGGATCTGCTAAGGCTCAATTTTAACTGGACCCCTCCCTAAATATTTCTGATTCAATGAGTACTAGGGGCTAAATTATGTCAATTCATATTGCAGCACTAACCTCCAATGTGCTGTTTGGGGGCAGAGCTGTTAGGAGCTAATTAAGATTAAATCAGATGATGTGGATGGGAACACACACCCCAGAGGGCACAGAGGAAAGCTGTGTGAGGTGAGAATGCAACCTGACTGTGGCCAGCCTTCTACAAGTCAGGAAGAGAGGCCTCATCAGAAGGCATGACCTCTGAGGGCACTGTCATCTTGCACTTCGGTATCCAGAACTTTGAGAAACTAACTTTCTGTTGTTTAAGCCCCCAGTGGGCCATATTCTGTTATGATGGTCTAAATGTCCTCACAGTTGTCTGGGAAATGGCTGGCTACCTTCACCTTCATTTGAAACACCATTCCTGTGGTTACAGCTGACTTAGGGCTCACACTTGGAAAACTCATTGCAGAGCTCACTGTCCATAGGCCACTTGATGGCCTTTATGACTTTTTAATAACTTTTTAAAATTATCCCTTTGGAATTGAAAGGATGGTCTTGAACTTAGGAGTCAACGGCTTGACTGGGGAGATAGCTGTGATGGTAAAGCAGTTGCCTTACAAGAATGAGGACCTGAGTTCAGATCTCTAGAACCCATGTAAAGCTAGGACAGTATGTGCATCTCTTGTTATAGTAATCTTGTGCCAAGATGGGAGAAAGAGAGGGAAATCTCTGGCCACTCTTGGGCTAGCTAGCCTGGCAAATGCAGTGACAAAAGACAAAGAGACTCTGACAGAAGTGTGAAGGCAAGGGCAAACACCCAAGGTTGTCTTGTGACCGCCATATGTACACAGTGGCACATGTGCTTCTGTGCACACACAGAGATGTAGCTGGAGCTTTCTCCAGTTCTGCCAGGGCCCGCAGCCACTTAGACCCAAATAAACACACAGACGCTTATATTATTTAAACTGTTTGGCCTAATGGCTCAGGCTTCTTGCTATCCAGTTCTTACATCTTAAATTAACCTATTTCTATTAATCTATAAGTTGTCATGTGGCTTGTGGCTTATTGGTACTTTGCATCTTACTTCTCATGGCGGCAGCTGGCAGCATCTCCTGACTCAGCCTTCCACTTCCCAGCATTCTTCTCTCTGCTTATCCCACCTATACTATGCTTCCTGCCTGGCTACTGGCCAATCAGCATTTTATTTATCAATCAATCATAGCAACACATTTTCACAGCATATAGAAAGAAAGAAAGAACAGCTCCTGCCTGTTGCTTTTCATGGAGCAATATGCTCTGCTATCTCTGTCACCTTCTTCCTGCATCTTACAAGATGAACCTGTAGGATGTTGGTACCATGCTGGGTAGATACAGTGTTCCCAACAAAAGCAGCAAAAACTAATGCTGTACTTTTTCCAACCACAAAGGAGAATTTGGGTTTTTTATCTAGATGTGGGCCAGAGGTAATTTTTCAGTTACATAAAATTGTGTACCTGCTCTCCATTCTGGCATTAGAAAAGTAAAATATTACTCAGGAGCTGGAAAAGGACATTAGGTGATGTGTCACATCTGATTCTTATGTCTCTTTTGATGTATAACTTGTATCTTGGATTTTATGCCATCCAACAGATGCACCTGTCTAGACTCTGACATCTCCAGCATCAGCTTCTACTTCTGGACCAGCGTTGGCCTCAGATTGCTGAAGGTGTTAGAAGTGTCAGTGTGAGAGTAGATTGCACTTCAGTATTCCCGCCTTTCCTCCTTTTTCCACATGTAAGTGCTTGATTGGGCAGGACTTACTGATCTTTGTCACCTCAGCAGTATTTTGACATTTGGAGAGCAAGACTGGGTTTAGTAATACATGTTAGTAGAAGGAGAAGCAGGTGTTTGCCTCCTTTGTGTGTTTTTCTCTCATCTCTTTCAACATTAATTAACAAGAAAGCAGATCACATTCACAGAGGCCACAGACTTTTTCATGAACTGATTTTGGGGTTGACTTTTATTTGTTTGTTTTCATTTCTTTTTCTTTTTTTTTTTCTTTTGGAATAGGTTTTATGTAGCCCAGGCTGGCCTTGAATTTGCTAGGGCTAACCTCAAACTCCAAACTCTCCTTCTTCCTTCTTCTAAGTGCTGAGGTTACAGGTGTGTGCCACCATGCTTAGCCAAGGCTTACTTTAAAATCTTGTTTTATGTGAGTGTGCATGTGGGTGCTTATGCCACAACACCATATTGTGCCATGTGGAGGTCAGGGGACAACTTGTGGGAGTCAATTCTCTCCTTGTACTGTTACTGTTCAGGTCATCAAGCAGCTGTTATTTCAACCAAACAAGAGTAAAGACCATTACCCACATTCTTTGGTCATATTAAGGTTTATTTTCTGTCCGACAGGGCTATCTCTCTAAATCAGGGTTTTAAAACAGCATCAAACACAGGAGAGGGTAGGGTTTATATTGCCCCCTAGGGTGCAAGGCTAGGGGGTTTTCAAGGGTTGGGAGATTTCCAGAGGAATTTTGGTTATGTAGGAACTTGTCTGAACATTTCAAAATTATTTGGCAGAACATCTTATCAGGGTGTATCCAAACAGTGAGTCAAGCTCCATAGGATGGGGAAGATGTCAAATTTCAGAAACAGGTAAAAGCATGGTAAACTTGAATTTTGCAGCAAACGGAAATGAACTCGTTCTGACTTTATTACAAAATGGGTTATAAGTCAGACTGATCCTTCAGCAGCAAGGGCTTTACCCCTGAGCTATCTCAGTAGCACAAACAAGTAAGCTTTTCAAACATCCTTCCTTTCATTCCCTTCCCTCCCCTTCTATTCTCCTCCCTCCCTCCCTCCCTCCCTCCCCCTCTCTCTCTTCTTTCTTTCTTTCTTTCTTTCTTTCTTTCTTTCTTTCTTTCTTTCTTTCTTTCTTTCTTTCTGAGACAAGGTCTCACCGTGTAGCTCTGGCTGTCCTGGAACTTGCTTTGTAGACCAGACTGGCTTTGAACTCACAGAGATCCACCTGTGTCTGCCTTCCAAGTGCTGGGATTTAAAGGCATGAGCCTCTACAAGTGGCTTCCCTTTTTCTTTATAGATGAATTTTAGCATCCTTATGGTGATACAGGTAGATGCCACTAACTCTTGCTGAATGATTTCATATATATAATATAATATATAATATCTTGCATGTTCTTATCACAAAAATAAAAATTATCTGAGGTGATAGGTATGTTGATTCTTCCAGTGTATACATGTGTCAGAACAGCACACTATACCACACAAATACATATAATTACTATTTGTCACTTAGAATTGAAATAAAAATTTAAGTGATTGAATCAAAGAAACTTAGGATTCAAGATAATCTTATGATAACCTTTACTGAAATATTTGCACTAGAGAAACCCAGAAGGGGGCTGCCTCCTGCATCAGTTAAAACATCATAAGGAGGAATAGTAAGTGACTTTCAACAAACATCACTCTCTCTGTGAAACTTCTGCTGAGCCCTCAGGTCAGAACGACAATGTCCCCTCATCCCTCCCCAGCCTGTCCCATGCTTCCTGTTCCTCTGCAGTGAGACTTCTAATTTATCCTTTATGCCAGTTCTTGGCCCAGCTCTCTTCCTTATTCTCCTCCGTTTTCATCTCTCGCAGAACTCCATTCAAATAAACCACCAATAATATCTTTCAGTGGGAAAGACACATGATGAGGAATAGTGAGTTTGGAGTATGTTTGTGTGTTGGAGGAAAAGCATGTAAGAGGAAAAGACAGAACAATGACCCAAAGGTAAAAACACAAGTGTCTATCAACAGAGGGATGAATAAATAAATCACAGAATTCATGCACAATGGAATATCATGCAGCCATAGAAAGAAATGAAGAACTGATAGATGTCCTAACATAGATGAACTGCAAAATCATTATGTTAAGTTAAAGGGCTAGGTACAAAAAGACATATATTTTATGATTCATCCATGACCATGATCTGAGATAGAAAAATCTACTGGGACAAAATGAAGGGCATGGTTGCCAAGGACGGGAGGTGTGGAGAAAGAAGCAACTACCTAACAGGTATGGGTTTTTCTTCACAATATTGGACATCTTTTGGAAATAGAAGAGATGGTTCTACAAAATTGGGAATGTGCTAAATGCCACTGGATTATACTTTCCAAATGGTAAATTTTATGGTATATTAATTTCACCTTAACAAAAAGTAAAGTTTTTAATATATAGTGCATATAGTATATCCATATCTATCTACATTTATATCTATATCTTTATATATATATAGTGTGTGTGTGTGTGTGTGTGTGTTTCTGTATGTGTATTGGCACACATATGCAACCACACATGTGTGGAGCTCAGAGAGCAATTTATGGGAGTCAGTTCTCTCCTTCCACCATGTAGAGCCTCAGGGACTGAAATCAGGTAGTCAGACTTGGTGGCAAGTACCCTTACCCTCTAAGACATCTCATTGACCCTAAAAATGTTTTAAAGGAGAGAATGATTCTATAAAACTTTCCATCCCATTTTCTTGGATCTTACCACTTTCATATCTTTCTATTTAATCACATCTGAAAGGATGTTTAATTTGGATACTAAGCTCCAAGGAATGGTCCTGAGTGACCTCCAGATCTTGTTATGTAATGTATTGGTCCTTAATAAAATGGCCCAAATAGCAGCAAGAATAATAAAGTCATCTGATGAGGCGGCAGTAGAGCTGGGCTGGCCTCCCAAGGAGCGCTGCCATTGAGTCGCTTTCTGAGTCCTGCTGCTGTCGCTCCCTGTCCCTGAGACTCCTGACATGATTGAAGATGACTTGTCAAATGATGTCATCCATGCAACCAGTGGAAGGAATACAGGGGTCCTTGAAGGTGGCATACAGATCGCCACGTGCCCCCAGGCTGCTGAGTCTGACTCAGTGTTGCCTTTGGCAATATAAAACAACATCATTTGTTTCTGCTGGTCTTAAACCCCCCCACCCCACTTTTCTGTATCCTTTGGTCCTCTTGGGGACTCTCTTCTCCATCCCCCACATATCTAGAGGGACCTTCCCCTCCATTATCCCTTCTGTTTTCCATCCATCTACACTATTTAAAAAGTTGACATCATACCTCCATGATGGTGAATTATGCATAAGGACTTCCTAACTACATTTCCAAGCTCTCTTCACTTTGCTGTCAACCCTCACGTATTCCCGGAGCTGCTGGCTCTTTGTAGGATACCAGTTCATTTGGTGCTCTGCCGTGGTGTCCCTCTGGAAGAGGCACCTGGCTGATTCACTCTTACTGATCCCTGTCAAGTCTTAAATCTAAATACAATCAAAAAGTATTTCTATCATCAAGGCTGGCTAGCAAATAAATCAACTAAAAACTCAGTTGTAGGGAACAAATTGTCGGTCTATAAATGTGATTAAAATTCTAGCTTTAGCTTTACCCACAGGTAAATTTCTATGTTTCTATGCCTAGAAGGATCTTAGTTGAGCCAATGGTTCACTTTGTAGTGCATGCACCTAACTTCAAAACCAGCCCACTCTTGGGAACTTATGAACCATTTCCATATCTTTCTTCCCATAGGCTCGCAATTCTCCTGCAATAGGTTCCCAGTCCATGCTAGCTAATGAAGTCACAAAGACGGGCCACCCAGTGCCTGAGAGCTGTGCTTTAATCAGAAATGGCACCTCTGTGCTTCCAAGCAACAGTGCTGGCACTTCCCTCTGTTGACCCAACCTCTGCATGCCACAGAGGCATTGTTTGCTGACCAGATTCAAGGAAGCACACCCCCAGTTTCAGGCAGTTTGTTATTGCCCTGCACCTCTGGGCTTTAGGGCTGTACACGCTCTAAAAAACAGTGCTATCAGGGTCAGATGGTCAAATTCGCTTGGATTGAACCAGCCAGCTGCTGATGCCCTTAGAGCCTTGACAGCTGTACGTGCTTTTCAAGGACTCCAGCTTCCACTGTGTACTGTATGCTTCTACCAGGCCCCAGCCAAGGACTCCAGCTTCCACTGTGTACTGTATGCTTCTACCAGGCCCCAGCCAGGACCCTAAAGAGATGTTAGAGAAAACATACATTTAGGCCTAAATTTTATAGTTTGCCCTTTTCTTCTTTTTGAGACAGGGTCTCTAGGGCAGACTGGCCTCCAACCCCCTGTGTAAGCTGAGGCTGACCTTGAACTTCTGATCCTCATGTGCTGGAATTACAGGTATGTACCACTGTACTCAGCTATGTTGTGCATGCTTGACATGTACTCTATAGCCCAGGCTACATATTCAGCACCCTAATTCATTGTTTTTTAATTCAAATGACTACATTCTGAAGGAAGAGTTTGGCAGAGTCACTGTGCCACCATTTCTGACAGGGCTCCTTGCAGGACACTGTCCCTCCAGGACGCCTGCAGGCCTCTCTTCCTAGCACTTCCTAGCTTTTTGGTGAATACTTGTCACTGACTTTTGGAAATCTCTTGGGGGTGAAGACTTTACTTTTTTGCCTAAAGTAGCCTTTGGGGAAAGTTCCTTGGTCTGTGTTCAGGAAATTTACTTTTGGGGCCGAAGTCAAAACTCTGGATGACTTTGAACACCAGATAGCACAGTGCATGGCCAGACTGCCGTTGCTCTTATCTGTGTGGCTTCTGCATCAGTGCCTCTGAGCAGCCTGGTGAATCTTTGGAAATTAGATTGATCCCAGTGAGTTAATTAACTAAATAAACCTCAGTCCAATCAACAGGCTTCTGCCGGTTCTGGGTGAGCATCTGTAAATACGCCTTTAAACCCCCAGAAGGGCATACACTGAGGAGCTCAACTGATTTTCAATCCTTTACTGCCTCATTTCCAGAGACTGTAGGGGTCAAACTGAATGCTAACAGTTTTTGATGGTTGGCACTGATAGACTTTTGGTATATCTAATCACACGTGTTTGCCCAGGGCTTTTGTGTGGCTAATCCTCAAGAATAGCTTAGTTTGCTCCCAGGTTGCTGAGACATTGTTTGGCCAACTCACTGAAGAAATTTAACCCTAACATTGGCTGTGAGAAGGAAGAATTAACCTGCCACCTTTTCCTCATTGTTCAACCAATCATTTGCTTCCATTGAGTTTGTCCTGATGCTCTGACAGCCCGGCATGTAGAATGGTGTCACTATTGTCCTTCAAGTGACAAATTTTTGACACGGTCAAACCCCAAGAGAATAAGACATTTGCAGTCTCCATGGAGAGTGATGGCTACCTCCAGATATGCAGAGCAATTCAGCAAGAGTAAAGCTTTTCTGTGTATTTAGTAATTTCCCCAGCAGATTAATTATCCATCACTGCAGAACAGAATGTTTCCAAACTTAGCAGCACACGACAATAGCTACATTTATTATGGCACAGCTTTTGTGGTCAGGGGCCCAGGTGGTTCTGGCTCTGGGTCTCATCAGAGGTTGCAGTCAGGAGATGGGCCTGTGCTCTGTCCCCTCTAGAACTGACCAGGCTGAAGCATCCACCTCCAGGAGACAGTTTCTGGGTGGCCGCTGATTTTAGTTGCTGGCAGAAAGTCTGCACTCCTCACTCTTCGGACTTCTCTGCAGGGAGCTCTGGTGTCTTCCAAGGGCAGCTGGGTTCTCCCTGTATTACTTACTTGTCTCATTGCTGTGACCAAGTAGCTGAGAAGAAACAACTTTTGGGAAGAAAAATTCATTTTAGCTCACAGTGTCATGGTAGGGATGCATGGTGGCTTGGGTTTCTGCCTTGGTGTAGGACCTTGTGGTTGGTCACATTTTGTGGCAGCAGGGACTCCTAGGGCCACAACCAGGTCTAGAACCTCCCAGCTGCCTCCAGTCACCTGCTTCCACTAGGTAGGCCTCACTTCTCAAAGGATCAGCAATCTCCTAAAGCAGTTCCACAGCCTTGGGACCAAGTGCTCACACACATGATCCCATGAAAGATACTTCACATTCAAGTGTATTGCTCCAGCTGGGAAAGGTCTTACCTTACAGGTACATGGACCTGAGCTTGGATCCTAGCACCAGTGTGCAAAAAGCCACATGTTGGAGTGTGCATTTGTAATCTCTGAGTTGGAAAGACAAAGAGATGTAGGTCCTTGGGGTTCTTCAGCCTGATGGTCTAGTTTAATTGGTGAGCTACCAGAGCAGCCAGCATCTCTGTCTCAAAAGACATGGCAGATGGCTTCTGAGGATAGTACCCAAGGTTTACCTCTGGCTTTCCACACTGTAAACTCAGAACACATCCCAAATGATTTATTCAAGAAATCAGAATTGTTGGTTATGATAGGAGGGTCATCAACTATCAACCAGGCATATCTTTTGGGTGACAGAAGCCAGGTCTAGTCTGTGCAAGGTTGGAATAAGCACAGGATCTTAGCATCAGGGGGCAGGTTGTTGGGGCTGTATTGAAGTGGGTTACCACACCTCGATCTATCTGATTACATTATCCGAGAGCAAGGGCCATCTCGGGGAGGCAGGTAAGGCATCTGTTTCTGAGACCATAGACTTCTCTGCCTCCTGGGGGCTCTCTGCAGTGTTGTCTTCCTGGCTAATTTCCACGTTTCCAGGCCTTTGGACTCCAGCACGACGTCCTCAGAATCATAACATGATGAGTTAGAAAGGTCAACCATGGTCTGACCCATTTCCCTTCTTTTATAATAAGGACCTCATGCTTTTCACAAGGTTGATCTCAGAACATTCTAAGGCAGGTTTCTTAGGATAACCTGAAAGTTAAGGGAAAGTGAAGGAACTGGGAATTGCCTCCGGTGACCTCAGTTACTGATATCCAGAGGTGGACTGATTAGAGTTCTGTTTCCTTTTCTTCCTTCTGTGTCCCCAGGCTTTGAAGTCTGCAATAATGCACATTTGCTGTACCTTTAGGCCCTGCAGTTGTTTGAATGAATAAAGAGAATCTGTTATGAATAAGAACATGGGAAAATAACAGATGTCTTTGAGGTCAGGAGTGCACAGGTGGTGAGGCCCTGATGTAGGTTTATCCCACAATATGGCCCCTGCTGTGCCCCTCCCACTTACTGACAAGGGAGACAGACATGCAAGTCATTGAATTAAAAGGTCATTCAAATCTCTCATGCCCAAATCTATCGTTCTTGAGTTTCTCCACTTCAATTTCTAGGCCAACTGCCTTTCCACAAAGAGGGGGTATTCATGAGGTCCCCTTTCCCTCATTTCCGTGGCTGTCCATCTATATATGACTTCAAGTGAGATCAGCTGAATAGAAATCACGTCATTAGACCTGAACCAGAGGTAGCTCCATTAGTAAATGTTTGCTTTCCAAGTATGAAGGCCTGAGTTCAATCCCTAGCACCCACATAAAAAGCCAAGCATGGTGGTGCATGCTTCTAATTCCAGTGCTGAGGAGGTAGAGACCAGAGAAGCCCTGCAGCTCACTGGACAGCCCCTGGTGAGCCCCCTGTCCTGGTGAGAGACCCTGTCTCAAAAGGAAAACCAAGATAGATAGCTCCTAAGGAATGACATCTGGAATCGACCTCTTACCTCACCCTCACCACATACACAAAATGCCCATCACACACCCCCTCGTCATGTACACACAAAGTAAAACTCAGGAAGTAGAGATTGGAAGGTGGGTAGCTCTTTCTTGGAGGAGTGAGACAGTGGCAAACTATCAGAATTAAGAGAGGCCTCCCTCTCCTCTCCCCTCTCCTCCTCCCCCCCACTGGCTTTGCTTCCCCTCCTTCGTCTTCTCCACCCCCTTCTTCTTCCATCTCTCCTTCCTGGTTCATAGTGATGCCTTTGCACGTTCTTTGGGGCCAGTCCCCGAGGAGATCCAGGAAGTGTTGTTGCAGGGCAAGAGTGGTATAGTTGCTAGTGTGCATGCCTTATATTTGGAATTCATTAAGCATGCTTTTTCCTTCAATATCTAAGCTTTACAGATGTTTTCACCATGTTTGGGTGGCATTTCCCTACCTATTTGGGCACAGGCCCGGGATAATCCCTCTCATAAGGAACTCGGGGAAATATGACTTGAAATAATGCAGAGTTGCATCAATCAAGCTGTTTGGCAGAGCAGCTTGAAGAAATGTGGGCACCTGACAATTGCGAACTGCTGGCAGCGAGAAGGGCTTCTGCTTCCAGCGACAGTTAGACTTTCGGCTTGTTCTTCTTAAATCACAGCAGATAGCCAGCACTGTGTGTGTGTGTGTGTGTGTGTGTGTGTGTGTGTGTGTGTGTGTGTGTGTGTGTGTGTGTGTGTGGTTTGGATGAAAGCGAGAGAAAGACAGACAGAGGCAGATACAGAAAGACAGAGACCCCCAAAAAAGACAGAGGTGGGGGGGGGGTCGTGGGCAAGAATTGTTACTCTCTAATGGACTTGTAGGAACACTTGACTACAGTGAGAACAGCATTTTGATGTGGGAGATTTGGCTGCAGTCTACTGAAATGTCAGAAAAGGTCACTGAAATGAGAAGCAGAGATCAAAACCAACTGGTTATGCAATGGGGCCAAAGAAGTAGGAAAGAAGATAGTCTCACTGAACCCTTGGTGATCATGATTCAGCATCACGGTCCATCACTGAATGGACATCGCTGAGGCCATTGGCTTGCCATGAAGAGGTCACTGTCAGTGTACCTGAAGGATGTGGCCTCAAGCCCTGACACCCAGCCCTGCTCGGCCACATGCTCACCCTGAGCACTTCATAGCTTTCAACTAACTCAGATGCAGCTGAAGGAAACCCTGAGAAACCTACATGAGTCAAGTAAGCCAGGCTGCACTCGTGACAGGACTGAGGAATGAGAAATCAAAAGCTAAACCCAGGAGAAAATCCAAGAAGCATTACCGAATCAGGAGCGGGAACGAATCAATAAAAGTTGATGGATGCTGTCAAAATCGCCAAAGGCGGGGATGCCAGCGCACTTGACTCATCCCAGACAGAAAAGGCAGAGGTTGTAGACTGTGGCTCTTGTATAATTAAGACAACCTGAATTAATTTTAACTTTCCATGGGATATTAAGGACCTCATAGCAGAAAATACATCTGAAAATGCTGAGAATTTACAAATGCCAAATTAAAAAACCATCCTGGCCACAGGCTCTGGTCCCTGTTCTCTCCTTTACAGACAATGGGACTGAAGACTAGTAGCAGTTAGCTACTCACATAGTGGGTTTCCTTGGACTAGTGAGATACCAAATAATGGGAAAACTCCAAGACTTCATTAAAGTTTGTGACTTCAGAGGTAGAGAAAGCGAAGT